TTAATTTTGAAAAAATTCACAATTTCTTCCTTGACTATTTTTAACTATTGATTTTTGTTGAAATTCTTTTGTCACATTAGTATATACCTAAAAAATTTTATAAGACCGCGGGACAAGACCATTGGGCCTTAAAAAATGATTTTTTCTGGAAAAACCCAATTTTTTAAGTTTGAAAAAATTCACAATTTTTTCCTTGACTATTTTTAACTATCGATTTTTGTTGAAATACTTTTGTCACATTAGTATAAAACTAAAAATAATTATTAGACCGCGGGACAAGACCACTGGGCCTCAAAAAATTATTTTTTCTAGAAAAAACCAATTTTTTAATTTTGAAAAAATTCACATTTTCTTCCTTGACTATTTTTAACTATCGATTTTTGATGAAATACTTTTTTCAGATTAGTATATACCTAAAAAATTTTATTAGACCGCGGGACAAGACCATTGGGTCTTAAAAAATGATTTTTTCTGGAAAAAACCAATTTCTTAATTTTGAAAAAATTCACAATTTCTTCCTTGACTATTTTTAACTATTGATTTTTGTTGAAATACTTTTGTCAGATTAGTATAAACCTTAAAAATTTTATTAGACCGCGGGACAAGACCACTGGGCCTCAAAAAATTATTTTTTCTGGAAAAAACCAAATTTTTAATTTTGAAAAAATTCACATTTTCTTCCTTGACTATTTTTAACTATCGATTTTTGATAAAATACTTTTTTCAGATTAGTCGCAAACTAAAAATAATTATTAGACCGCGGGACAAGAGCAATGGGCCTTGAAGAATGATTTTTTCTGGAAAAAACCAATTTTTGAAATTTTGAAAAAATTCACAATTTCTTCCTTGACTAATTTTAACTATCAATTTTTGTTGAAATACTTTTTTCAGATTAGTATAAAACTAAAAATAATTATTAGACCGCGGGACAAGATCATTGGGCCTTAAAAAATGATTTTTTCGGGAAAACCCCAATTTTTTAATTTTGAAAAAATTCACAATTTCTTCCTTGACTATTTTTAACTATCAATTTTTGTTGAAATACTTTTTTCAGATTAGTATAAAACTAAAAATAATTATTAGACCGCGGGACAAGATCATTGGGCCTTAAAAAATGATTTTTTCGGGAAAAACCCAATTTCTTAATTCTTCTTAAGGAAATTTCTTTTTGATGCAGCAAGATATATTCATAAATTAAATGTAATTATATTGCGGTTTGCAAACTTTTGCAATTCGAAATGATTCGAATTTTCTGTTGTCGAGTCGATTAATGTTCGGTTCGATTAAATACACACCTCTATTTCATATGCAAGTTGCTTATTTTTTTATGATAGAATAATCATTTAAAAATATTAATATTAAATAAATTATGAAAAAATACAAAATTTGAATTTTTTGTGAAAAAGAAAAATTTCTATTAATTTTATAAATTTTGATAAAAAATATACTTTGTATACATCAATCGATTCGTTTTCTTGTCAGGAATGTAATTTTGAGAATAATTAATTAAAATATTAACAGATAAAAAAATTATTTACAAAAATACAAAAAAAAATTTTTTTTGAATTTTAAAAAAATTGTATAAAATTTTTTTTTTTTAGATATTTTTGAAAATCCTTGTGTCAGATTTTAGGTATTAATGACTGCAATAAACCTGCAAAATTTCAAGACAATCCATCAAAATTTGTTTGAGATAATTTGTACACAATTTTTGTGACATACACACACACACATACACACATACACACATACACACATACACACATACACACATACACACACACACACACACATACATCTGGACATTTGCTCAGAATTGAATATACATATGTTATAGATTAAAATGAGTCCATATAACCTTCTTTTGAAAAATTGAAAATCGTCACGAATGCAAAGCTTCCTTATGAGGAAGCAAAAAAGGGAAAAAGAAGCAGAATACAATTTGAAAAACTTGCATCATAGAAGGAAATTATTAAGGTTATCTAGAAAAAATATTACAATTAAGATAAATTTAATTAAATAAATAAATAATAATTAAATTCACTAATTTTTATTAAATTATTTAAATTTGACCAATTTAATTTAAATTTAATATAACTCTAATAGAGAATATTAAAAAATAAATAATAAATATTATAAAAAAGTAAAGACAACCAAAATATTTAAATCCAAAACAATCGAAAACAATAGATTTTAACCTGTAAAAAATCGTCTTATTAAAAAAGAATAAAAATATATGAGACCTTCGAAATATTACATTTTTAACTGCAAAAATAAATTCTAAATGCTAATTTTAATTTATACACAAATTTTTATTAATGTGCTAGTAAATTTTTTTTTTTCAAGTCAAAAGTTAAAGGTTCCAGAGAATTGCCCATATCCAAAGCTCATTAAAATGCATACATTAGTTTTTGAGAAAAATGCGTTTTTCGATTTTCCCCCTTCATAACCCCCTCAAAACTCAAAATTTTTAGTTAAAAATTTCAAAAAGTTATTTTTAAGTGGGTAGGAATGAATAGGAAAAATATAATTGTGTCACTTTTTCAATACTTATTCGGCTATACCCAATCACATGAAATTGCCCATATGTATAATATGTGCATTAGGGGAGACTGGGGTAAACCCGCTCACTTTTTTTCAGATCGGTAAAAATCTAGAAAATTATTCTCTAAATCCAAGTTAATTTATATCATTTGAAAGCTTATGATTTCTACTAAAAAATAAAAATGATTTTTTGATTTATCTTTTTTAGTTTTACTTAGAGAAACTTTTTAATACAAGTAGGGGAGCGTGGGGTAATGGGAGCTTGCGGGTAATCAATAAAAAAATCGAGATAATAATAAAATTTGTTTATGTTTTTATTTTTTTATTCAAATTTTGTCCTGTAAAAATTCTGTGAGGTAATGGGAGAATTAGTGTCAGCCCAAAAAATTTTCTTTACTATGTTACGGCTTTCGTTATTTCTTTGAAAATTGTAAAATATATCACCTTATTTATTTATTTACAATGTCCCTGCGGTCAAAAGACCATAAATGGGTTACTGAGGAATACAGAAAGTGTGTATAGAAAAAAAAATAAAATAAATATTAGAGTATTATCGCAAATTCACTGTGTATTGCACTAAACATCTCAAAAATGCCAACTGATTAGAGAAAAAAGGTCCAAATCCGGACGCATATTGTCAAACAACTTATGAACAAACTTTTAATTAAAAAATAATATTTGGTGGAAAAAATGAAAAATTTAATTTTTTTCAAAAATTTTGTATTACATTATAATTTAGGAAAAAAGTTATTCTAAGTCTAAAGTTTTGGCTTCATTGTAAGTATTAACACTTTTTTCTATTAGAAAACAAAAAATATTCCTAAAAAATAAAAAAATTTAAAATTTCAAGTGAAAGCTCCTAATACCCCACAAATTGGGTAATGGCAAAAAATGTATTTTTTTTTGAAAATTTTGTTTTCCTTTTTATTTTCTCTTTTTAAGTTTCTAATTAAACATAATTAAAGATAAATAACGAAATGAGTAGAAAATGACGATTTATTATTGATAAACTATGAATTCTATAAACAATTCTATAAACAACAAATTGGTTTAATAAATAATGAATATAGGTTTTATGAATTACAGCTATGGATTTACAATTTTGGTTTTAACAAGTCATAAATTTAGTTATTGTTAAAATATAATACGTGAAAAAATTTTATTCTAAATTTTAAATTTAAAACAAAGTAAGCAGCTTTACCCCGACTTTACCCCGAGTGTATTCCTCACATTTCAGAATAAATTTAATTAAATCTTTTTGAAATAAGACAAAACTATATATGTACATACTTCGAAGAAGGACATCCAATAGCAACAAAAAAAATTTGCCAAATAAATTAAGACTCAAAAATAATGATCGAAAAACTCAAAAATCCGAAAAACGTTTTTTGTCTGACACCTTTGAAAACATTTGATTGCCTCTGATTCTATGTTGAATTTATGAAACTAAACGAAAGTTTGTTAATACAAGTTGAATGTTAAGTACTATTCACAGTATCAATATTTCTATTTTAAGTTGAGTTCATAGCGTCAAATCGCTAGTGAGCGGGTTTACCCAAGTCTCCCCTACCGTACGTGACAAATAGCATGACCATGGTTTTTGACATTTTACTCAAAAACTGTATTTTTTAAAAATTTGGAAAAAATATAATATGCTAAAGAAGACATTAAATGGTACTATTTTCTATAAAAATTACAGTGGTCACTTTAAAACTAACCCTCAAAGAAAATTTTTGAAAATTTCAAAATTTTGACTTTTTTTTCTAGAATTGTCTTGTCTACATTTGAAACATATCGAAATTTCATTAAAATCGATTCAGTAGTTTTCGAGAAAAATAAGTTTTTTGATTTTTCGTTCCCCCTCCATAATTCCTTAAAAAAAGCGAATTTTGAGTTCAAAATTGCAGAAAGTTATAGTCATATGGATAGTAAATATATGGGCCAAATTTGAGAAAAATAGATGCGGGGGCAGTTTTTGCACACTTAACCCCCTAAGCTCTTTCTTAATCATACAAATAATTAGTGTAATAAATTTTAAATGTAATTTCTTTGCTATAAGGAATTTTCGATTTCAGATTACATGTTTCCGTTTTCTCTTTGGACACACCTTAAGGAAGAAAACCTACCACATGGCAGTCCTGGCAATCCAAATTTTTTTTTGTGTGCCGGTGTAGTCGACAAACAGACACAAAGTTTAGATTTTTTCATTATCATAAAAATGTTGAAGAAACCAAATGTACATAATAAAGGAAAGAATTATTCCCAAAAAAAGTTTTGCTTGAAAGAAATTAAAACATTTGTGTTATTTCTACAAAAAATCGCACTTGATGAAACTATTTCGACGAACGAAATTTTGTTTTTTCTAAATATTTGTTTTTAGTAATTTTTTCCAACAAAGATAATTAGCAGAAGAAAAGAGAGGATAGAGTTTTATCATCGGACCTTAACCTCTGAAGAAAAAAAATGTCTAATGCTATACAAACTATAGATGAAAAGAGTGAGATACGAGAGAAGAAGATTTGACAGTTGCGAGTGTCCTCGGAATCTGCGGCCACGCCCTCGCCAAGGAGCGACGGCAACGTCGACGCCGACGCTGTTCGAGTACTTCCTTCTCTCTTTTTCACTACCTCCTTCCGTCTCACTTGCACGTTTACACTCGCCTTTCACTCTTGCCTCCCTCGGCCACCCACCCAGCATCCTCAGCGACTCCAAAACCAACACTCGTTGACTCGAGCCAGTCTCCCACCGACCATCCGATCGTCAACGTTACTATATCCGTCGTCGTCGACGTTGAAACCTCGCGACGTTTATATATTCATTTTCCGGTTTATATATCGTCGTTTCACTCGCTATTGTCGACGTCGCTGGCTGAATTTGTTACCTTATTATTTGCTCGTGTCAATTCGCGACTCTATACGTTACAAAAGTTAAAAAAAACTATTCTTTACAGCTTTTAATTTTCGCGCCATTATCCCATTTCCAAGATTGTCAACCAACCCTCCCTCCCAGTGTTCTCTCATAACCCCTTGACCCCCGCCACAAAAACCATCTAAATCCGACCGGCAGCCGTTGTTTTCGTGACAATATCCACCGTCTTGCCGGTGTTTGGTGAATTTTTCTGTAAGCAAAAATTAACCAATGTATTAAAAGTTCTTTACTGTGTGTGGTCCTTATGAGAGGTTTGTGTTGGTGATTATTACTTGATTCACATCGCACTGATTCACCTTCACCACGGTATGTGACATTGTAATTCTTATTAAATTTTCAATGACTCTGGAGGGGAACTTCATCAGAAGTATTTTCTAAAAATTTCTACTAGTAACTTTGTAACTAAAAGAAGTAACATTTTGAGATAAAAACACCCAGAGAAAAATTTTACAGCGGGAATTTTATTTTAAATAAGTAAAAATTATTTTAGTGAAATTAAAGTATATTACTTTCTCTTAGAGTCTACTAAATTATTTATTTATTTTAAGTAATAATTCAGCAGAAATAAAATTTACTTTAAACAAATAAAAACGTTTAATATATTTTGAATCAAATATATCTTGTTTTTGGTTGAATCAATTAATTTTAATTGAATCAACCAAATAAGTGCATTGCTATAGAACCAGAGAAATTTTTTATTTAAAAGCGATATAATTTATTTGAGTCAAGTAAAAGTACATTTGTCACAGAACCTACTAAATTATTTATTTGTTCTATAAGTAAAATTTATTTGAGACAAATAAATAATATGGTAGGATTTGTTTGACTTAATTGAAAATTTGCATCACGTGACCAATATCTCTCTTCGAATTAAAAATTTATTTAACTGAACCTAAAGTTTATTTAATTTTTAATTTTTCCATGAATACAAATTTCACTTAGCAATAAGTGAATTCATTTATTGCTAAGTGCAATTTGTAGTCAGGAAAAAATTATCCACTAATTTAAAAAAGAAATATTTTTACTATTTTTTTCTAAAATCTCATAATACAAAAATATTAAAACTACTCTTTTTATTTACATAAATAAATGATTTCTTGTTTGTTATTAAATTAGTTATTTTTATTCATCCAAATTTAGAAGACAGTAAATAGATAACACTTGAAATAAATGAATTAAACAAACGCATTAAACTACAAGAAAAATAAATTTTCTAAAATTATACAAATCTTTTTGTACTATTCGACATATTCATTTAAAATATCCAGATTTCTGTGATTACCAGAACAATTTTTTAAAAACTTCTGAATTCTTAGCATAAAGTTTTTTATTTCTCTTTCCCCCTCCATAACTCTCAAAGAAAGTCGAATAGGGGGTTGAAACTTGCAGTAATTTATACTCTTATTGGTAGCAATATAAGGTACCAATATGAGCTTAATACATTTCTTGCAAGAACTGAGAAACAAATCAAGAAAATGCATATATAGTTAATCAAACATTAATTTGGTTCAACTAAAAATTTGCTTCAGATGACTGAATTCTTTCTTTGAATGCAAAATTTATTTAATTGGAACAAATGTATATTTACATGAAATGAATGTGTTTATTTAGGTTAAACAAACTTTATTCAAAATAACCTAAACCTACACTGAGAAAACTGGAGAGTCAAATTCAGAGGTTTGAAAGAGCAAATTATTCAAAACACCTTTAAAATGTTAAGCAGATTTTGTCAAAAGTCAGTAACTGATTGAAATACTAATTACTTTTCTGTTCTGTACTCTTATAATTAGTTATTTTCACTAACTGTTTAGATAAAAAATTAGCTAAAGTTAGTTAAAATTTTTATATTTCTGAAGTTTCGAGCGTTCAATTTCACTTTATTTGCATATTTTTAAGAAAATTATTATCTAGATTAAAACAAATTATAACAGAGGGATTATAACAAAAATTTATAACAGAGGGACAAATTAACCATCTTGAGAAATCCCTTCCTTATCCGGCGCGAAATGAATAAATATGGCAACCTAACCCCTAAATTAAATACATAAAATGTCAGAAAAATAATTTCGCGCGCATCAGATCGTACACACTTTCTGCGCAACTTTTAACCCTCAGATATAATGGGAGAGAATATACAAGTAGATTTCCATTATCAATTCAAAATTTATTTTAGAAGGACTATATTTAACTCTCTTCATAAGCAAAGGAAACATACACTTTTTGAACCTCTGAATTTGACTCTCCAGTTTTCTCAGTGTAGGTTTAGGTTATTTTGAATAAAGTTTGTTTAACCTAAATAAACACATTCATTTCATGTAAATATACATTTGTTCCAATTAAATAAATTTTGCATTCAAAGAAAGAATTCAGTCATCTGAAGCAAATTTTTAGTTGAACCAAATTAATGTTTGATTAACTATATATGCATTTTCTTGATTTGTTTCTCAGTTCTTGCAAGAAATGTATTAAGCTCATATTGGTACCTTATATTGCTACCAATAAGAGTATAAATTACTGCACGCAAAAAATTAGTCGCTGAAGTTTTCAGCTACTAATTGAAGACTCTCGGATATGAAAAAAAACTTCACGGACTTTTTGAAATACTCTTCGCTTTTAGCAGAAATTCTCTGAAAAAAGTTGAGGACTTTTTATAAACCTAGTAGCGGAAAATAGTCGTAGAATTATTGTAACACTTTGATAGAAATTTTCGTCGACGAGTCGCGGAAAATGATGCGCAAACTCTCAGGCAGTAAACGTCACGTGAAATAATTTTGACTGACTTTGTTTACGTATTTTTTATTTTTATTTATTTTATTTTTATTTATTTTTTTCTTATTTTTATTTTTTTTTTATTTTTCTTTATTTATTTTTTATTTATTTTTTTTATTTTTTTCTTAGCGATTTCAAATCAATTATTAAATAACAAAATTATAAAAAATAAAACAGTTTGTACAGGTATCATTACTTTTCAATGAGAAAGTGACTATTTTTATTTTCATTGGTATCGCACACCTTTACGATGGAGGAGTTTGAAAATCCGGTAAGAAATTTAAAATAATTTGTGACAATTTAATACCAACTTTAAATGAATATTTTGTTTCATCAAAAAATATAATCACTCTCGAGCTTATTTCATTATAATTAAATTGTAAATAATATTTTTAATACGCACATTATAAATTTATAGAAATTGTAGAATTATATTTTAATATTTATTTACATATTTTATATTCAAAATTTTTAGGATTGTTTATTATGAATTATTATAATTTATTATTGATTATTATAATAATATATAATATATCAAATCATATTATTCAAAATAATTAAAAACATAATAACATACAGTAATATAAAATATAATTATTAATCGTTAAAGAAGTTTTTATAGTAATTAACAGAAAAAAATTTGTTTGGTTTAATTATTATTTTCATTAAATATAATAATTCTTCTATACATGTGATAAATTAAAAATAATAAAATGGAAATAAGTGCACGGAAAAAATTAATTTAGTACATTTTACGAAACTAATTTTGGAATAGCGGATACGGAGAGGAGTTTAGTATAAGATAAAACAGAATCAATAGTAATATATGATGACTGCGTTTCTCGAAAACTCAAAAAAAATTCTATGGAATTCACAAATGATCGGTTGGACGTTCTAATTCAAGAGTTTTGTAAAATGTTTAGCCTGAAGCGCATGCGCCACGGAAAAAAATATTCACGGAGAAAAAAACGAATAAAGCAGAAAAAAGAATTTCTTAATGTACCAATGAGCTCTCAAGACCATTTTTTCTCGTCTTCTATAGGAGATAGATGATTGGTTCGACACATGTGACTGCACTCTACAACGCAATGGTTCGCTTGGATTGGCTTATTTTATTCTGACACTAACTTAACGGAAATACGCATACATATAAACGAATTCTGACGCAACGCACATACAATATAACTCGCACTTGTAGATGAAAGAATTGAGTTTCTTTATATACTAACTGAGGAGATTAAAACTGCGCTTGTGAGAAATGTCAATATACTGAATATTAATTTTTAAAAAAATCATTTTTTTAAAAGTTATACAAAATATTTTATGGTTTTTAAAATAACATTTTTTGATTATAATTAGTTATAAAATCTCTATAAAATTTTTCAATTTTTAGAAAATAATTTTATTCTTAATTTTAAATTATAAATAAATTGACAAAAAATTTTCAAAATTACATTCAAACTCAAAAAATGTTTATATTAAATTGTCTAAAATTTGAAGTAATAACAGTTAAAACTTGAGAAATTAATATATATATTGTCATCGGTAAATATTATGATAAACTATAAAATTTATTGGACTGTAAATTAAAAGAAATTAATAATAATTAAAAGTTTGGATTACAAAAGCACATAAAAAATGTTACGAATTTGGAACAATGAAATGTGAAATACGTAAAAGAAAACAATTATCCAAATGTTACCGGCAGGTAAAGCAGTTCTCTTTTTCCTTCCACATATTATATCTATATACAGCAGACAAGTTAATACCGACGCGACGAGACAAGCTTCAACATATCTATTTATAACGCGACTTTTGGTACACCCCGTATAGAATTTTACGAAACTTTGTTCGAGAATTCACGATAGACAGCGAAGTGGAAACTCAAACCACGCGTTTTTAGATTGCACGAAACATTTTTACCATTTTCCGATAAAATGTTCACCAGAAAATACGAAACATTTCTACATTCAAGCTTGTTTTATAAATTACAACACTGGTTGCAGTTTCTCGAAAATTGTTCTGCTTAAAGTAGTGAAAGTTTCTGGGTTTTTGAAAAACTTCGTCAAGGAATCTTAAATATCCGCTAGTGCGAAATTAGTTTCGTAAAATCTGCTGAACTTATTTTTTCCGTGTGTAAAATAGTCCTTAACGCATACTGAAATACTCTTTAAAATTCTAGAATATGATGAGCAGAAATATTTGAGATTTATAATTTTCAAAATATTGCACTTTTTCTCGCAAGCGGTAAAGAAATGTTTCATTTAATATATAAGGACGATGAAAAGTAGATTTGTAGCGTGCGAAACTGCGATAGCGTAGGGTAATATGCGTGTTAGTGTTAGTTATTTAGTTTGATTTAGGAAATTAGTGTTTAAATAGTGTTCGATTACATGTGATAGTGTCGTGATTATGTATAAATGTACGAGCGTAATTAAATATAAGGCATAATAAGAATAAAATAAATAAGAACTGAAAGAATTTTTTTTTTCATTGGTCGGCCGAATTTTTCATTTTCCGCGACTATCGATGAAAGT